GCATTGCTCTCCGAGACTTAAGTCTTAACAAGTCTACACTAATATTATAAAGAGGTTAAATTTGTAATTTTGTTAGTTTGTATGTAGGGGGTAATCTTTAGAACCGCTGGTTGGATTTCCAAAATCCTTTCACTGATACATAGCTACAATGTTCCCGAGTGCTATAGGCTATAAAAGATCAAATGGAGCCGAGCAGCACGTCGATTCTATAAAATTTGTTTGATTTTGAATCGTGTTCGAGTGCGAAGTGAGCGTCGAAGTGACAAAGAAATTAAATTTAAGAATGCCACTTTTAACGTTATCTCATACTTTATCTATCAAAATGTTTCTCTCAATTTAGTTCAACTCGCAAGTGTAGCGCTAGTGTACTAATACTCACAGCGGATTCAGATTCGAAGTTTAGAATGAAACCGTGAGAGGAGCTAGTTTTGTATTTAAACATTGATTATTATTATGTGTCTTATCACACACATTCCGCAATCCATAACTATGTGTTATAACGATCACATACTGAGGATATGTTCGTTAAATGCCGTAGGGTCATACTGCTTGCTTGTACCACGAGGCACGAGGTCAGACAAGGCTTAGAAAGGGTGTTATCTGCAAGCTGGTCGATTATGACACGAAGTATAATAAAGTTCTTACATTAGTTGATGTTAAAAACATCGACTTATACATAACTAGCTTTTATCTGCGACTCCGTTCGCGTGGAATAGTGACTTCCTGCAAATTTTTGGTCTAAAAACTATCCTATGTTTTTTCTCGAGTTCCAAAGTATGTCTGTATCAAATATCACAGAATTTGGTTCGGTAGTTTAGGCGTGAAGAAAAAACAGACAGACAGAGTAACTTTCGCATTTATAATATTAGTCTGGATAATTATTGTGACACATACTTAATTTATTGAAAATAACGACTTACTCGCGTGAATTAATTGAGAAAAGCTCGACTAGTTTCAAGTCACAACGGGACTCTTATTCATGAGCAGCGAGCGCGTCGCGGTAACGCGCACCCAACAGTCGTTACTTCGTTATTTTCAATTTTATGCATACTTTTGATAAACTTAAGTGAAAAAGATGACGATAGTAGAGAGTAGGAGATTTGGAATACTCCGCCCTCGGGTATGAGAATGGCAAAGAGTAAACTGTCATTCAGAGCCTAATTGTGAGAGCATCTTGATTCATCTGTAGATATTTGCTTTTGTGATCGCGAAGGATTCGGAGGACGATGAATCTTTGACTTGATCGGTCCATCTAGTTGACGACCACGCGATCGTTTGCCTGCGGTGATCCCAACGACAGTAAGTTTTTTCTGACTTTCATCGCCTCTGCGTAGAAATTAATACATGAATCTAAATTAGGTTTGCTTTTGAAAGACCCTTTAATGAACTCCTGGCATACAAGTCGCATTGCTAAATGCATCGTAAAAACATCACAACAAAGTAATGCAATGAATCCAGTTTCGAAGAAACACGCAACATTGTAAGACAGAGAACCGACTTTTATAGAAATACTTAGAATTAATAATATTAAAACAAAGCCGGCCGTGTGAGCAGTTCTTTAGAAATTGGGAAGAAATTAACATTCATTTCTAGGTATATTTGCAAATCCATTCAAAGAGGTACCTATAATCTAATTCTTTAAATTAAAAAAAAAGGTTAAGATGATATCTTTACTGTAAAATTAAGAAATAATTGCCCAGCCTGCTCTTTAAAAACTGTTGCGTTTATAAGTAAATACTTTAAATATCTATGACTTCATAAATTCATCTTATTTGAAATTTATTCATGTATGTGAAGACAGCTCGGGGGTTTTTTTAAGGGTGAAAAATCATCAAATAACTTCTCCCAGCCAGGATGAGCCGAGAGGGAGTGTCAGACTCTTACTGACTGAAAACCACCACGTTCCTGAAGACCAAGGTCCCGCAACTCCGGCTGAACAAAGAATCTGTTAGGCCCCATTTGTAGTACTCTACAAGCTTTTCGAGGCGCGCGAAGATCGCTACATGTCGTACGCTCGGTCAAAAAATTTTAAAGGCTTTACGTTTTTCTGTGTCAGCTTGCTTGCTTAAAATTTTATCTGTACCTATCGTTCCAATTTTTGTATATGTTGTAGGTTACCACTGCATAGGGATGTAGTGTCGCTATGTATTCTCTATCGCCTTTATCACGGGGAGTGTTCTGAGGAATTGTTCGGTTTGATCCCCGCCGCAACTTTTCGCTATCGTTTCACGCGAAAACATGTTCATCCCCATCACATAGATGGTTGGCAGTCAACAAAGTGTAGGAGAGCCATGCGTCGGCACGAATGGGTCGGTTCGACCGGAGTGATACCACGGCCTCACAGAAAACTGGCGTGAAATAACACAGCGTTGTGTTTCGCCGTGTGAGTGAGGTTACCGGAGGCCCAATCCTTCCCCTCCCCCAATCCCTCCTAAATCCCTAAATCTTCAAATCCCTAATCGCTAAAAGGTCGGCAACGCACTCGTAACTTCTCCGTTGCGAGTGTCCATGGGCGGCGCTGATTGCTTACCATCAGGTAATCCGTCTGCTAGTTTGCCGATCTATTAAAAAAAAAAACTGTTGGTAACTTTCTGCCCCGGAAGGAAAAGCTTCGGAATGATCTTCCGGCGGCGGTATTCCCGAACCGATACGACCTTCAAACCTTCAAGAAACGAGTGTACTCCTTCCTAAAAGGCCGGCAACACACCTGTGACTCCTGTGGTGTTGCAGGTGTCCATGGGCGGCAACGATCGCTTACCATCAGGTGATAGGCAAGAAAATTAATGATAATGATAGAGAAGATGAAACGAATCATGTGATTTCAAGCTTATAACATTACAGACACAAGCTTATAACATTATGTCCCAATCGAGATTATTGGCACCCTTTAATAATGAAACAATGAATTTATTTTTGCAAATAGGCCATAAAACGGCACTTTTACACGTCAATTTATTTGTGAACTAGATGAAGGCGGCATTTCTACTCTGAGAAGAAATGCCGAAACAAACTCAGAGGTCAGTCTCTTTTCAAGTCCAGACAATGTAAAAATAACATAATGTGAGAGAACAGTGCAAGTTCATTCTGTAGTGGTCTTTTGATGAAAGAACCACACCAGTTTAAGTGGACCAGTATAGCGGTTGCAAACTGACACTTGCGTGCTGTCTTCAGAAAGGGTCCTGAGTTGTCCGACGAACAATACCGATCTAAAGAACGACGAACGCAGTCTTCCTTTTATGAGATTTTATCCATAACATACAAACAATAGGTATACCAATTAGTTTATAGTTCACTTTTAGTATTTAGATTTTGGCCGTCACGTATTCATTCTAACTCTGTTAAAAGAAAGGGCTCTGTTAGAAAGAAAGAAAGTAAGAAAACATGTTTATTTGGCACTCCATGTAGAACAATATAAAACAAATAAAATAAAAAAATAAATGAACAATATAAAATAAACAATTACAATCTCAAGTAAGATAAAAATAGGAAAAATTAACAATATCAATGTCTCACGGCTATACCGAACAGGTCCAGTTCAGCTGTCAGGACGCTGGTTTTCAACTGAACCTATTGGGTGTACGTACGGATGCCAGTCAGCTTCCTACATGGGAATTAAATAAATGTATCTAATCATATTATTATTGTACAAATACAATATATGTTTAATCTGTATGTGATAACTATAAACAGGTGCTAAGTGTTAGTCAGAGATGTGTAGTGTTTAATGAGAATAAATATCGCTTAATAAAAAATAGAATAGAATAGAAATAGATTCAATAAAACTTTTAGTTAGTATTAGGTTTATGTTCAGCCGGGGTTGCGAGCCAAACGCAATAATATACTTATTCTCATGCATCTAATTTCTATCTCCAGTAAACCATTTACACCATTTATTAAGCTACACATACCTACACAAGTTAAAATAAACGTTACACAAAAAAAATATTTATATATATGTTTGTTCTTTCCTTTCACGGGACCACAGGGTCCGGACCTTTGGAAGGCATACGAGGAGCCGAAGCCAACTCGCAGAGGCCCGTTGAACAGTTTAAATATAAATGTGATAGGACATTAGCCGGCAATTATCCCTGCATGCACCATAAAAGTGCACCCAAGGACCATCCCCGGTTGATGCAGGACTATTGTGCAAAATGGTAAAAGATTATATGGTTATGGGTGTGGGTGGCCCCTGCCCCTGACCAATATTGATACATACGGATAAACAGGCAGGGGGTGACTAGCAAACTCAATTAATGGGCACCCGGAAACGGCCGCTAGCATGTAGCGACAAGGGGGCAACATACGTTGAGCTGCTTGGGGAAGAAAAGGCATCCCACGGCTATCAGAGCAATCCCGGAAGTACGGTCAAGACCCCTACCAGCACCTTACTGAGATACATCCTTCCCCCGAGTCTCCTTCAACTCCTACTCTTGCGAATCTCCACTCAAGCTTATTTATATCATATTTATATAACTATTAAATTTACAAATTTTACCTCTTTATAATATTAGTATAGATATACAAATGTTTTTTCAAAGTCATCTGAGTAGGGCAGGGAAAGATCATTCCATATCTTGGTAGCAGAGTATTTAAACCCTCCCTTATACTGAGCCGTTCTGTGAGCAAGTATAGTTAGTTTAATTGCTTCCCGCGCGCTTGGGGAAAGGGTAACAGAATCGAGCGCACACATTTTAAACTCTTTGTAGGTCCTTTTTGGATTTTTCGTACAGTCTTGGTCTGTACTCCAACTTGCTCTGAATATTTTGCTTAGTTTCATTGTCAGCTCAATGTTATCTTTTTTTTTGTCTGGGGAAATCATCCAATGGACCTCACCTTCAAAGTGATATACGGAAATTCATTCGATAGCAGATACCTACCCCTGAATCAATAATTGTACAAAAATGTCAACATGCAATTACATTTTCAGTAAATTATTGTATTTGCACAGTTGCAACTAGTAATGCAAACGTCGAGTTGGTCCATATAAAAGGCTGCTCCAAGTGAACAGCGGTACGAGTCGCAAGAATCTTGTTCCGACTAAGATCATCAGTCTCCAACCTCTCCAACATGAAAGCCGCCGTGTTATTGATCGTCGCTGTGGTAAGTACCTCCAGCCTCCACATTTTAGTATCTTATTCTCGACTGATGTTTATTCCTCTCCAGTTATGTTCTAACTACGTCGATTTCCGTCGATACCTGTTTCACCAAACGGAACCACTGAATTTGTGGTTTGGGTGCTTTGTGTGTAAAACTCTGAGGTCCTACTTGAAAGAGACCTTCTAAGTTCTACGCGGAAGAAACCAAGACAGTGGACGGAGACACATTCATTTATAATTTTGAACACCTTCATTAATGTGATGTTTGATTTGTTTGTCACAGGCGACACTAGCTTCAGCGCAAGAAGCAGTCAGCAGCCCCCAGCGCGTTGGACTAAGTAATTTACTGGGCGAATTGGGAGGTTTATTAGACGGTAAGAGCACATTGCACATGGCGCCGACTCGGTAACATGGGATCTGAGTAAACCTGTTTTAGGTTCACCTCTAAATAAAGCTTAACGCATTTTCGTTTCTTACAGGACTGTTAGGTCTTGATGGTAATCTTAAAGTTGGCGGAGGTAGCCTGCTTGACGCCAATATCAAAACAACGATTGGCAGAAAGAAGCGTGTAAGTACTTCCTTGTATTTAAATTGAGGAGTAAGTCGATGCACTTACTTGTGTTATAGCCATTGGCCTGTCTTTGTTTAACAATCAATCCTTCTTCCATTTTGATAAACGCTCTTGAATACATTTATTTTATAACATGTTTTAAACATTCTTCTGTGAGATAAACGGACAGCAATATAATTCTCACTTATTCGAACCATCTCAATAAAGTACCAAAGAATCTGTATATGAAAATGATTTAAAAAGAGTAATTTCATTCCATTTATTTATTTGGAATCTACACTTTGGAACGAGCAAATAGTTTCATAAAGAGGACTGACGGACAGACTGACACTTAATGATTTTGACTATTTGAAATAACATACTTACATAATTTATATATTGTTATTATTTCTGTCCTCCTAGGGTCTCTTGGGCGGTCTCTTAGGAGGTGAGTATTCAATATTCATTACGACACCGGGCCTACAGCTTGTTTAGTGTTAACAGTAGACACTAGTAGCATGCAGCTGGTCACCTTGGCTCAGCGGTTAATTGGAGGAGAATAGAGTATTGAACACAACTCTTGTATTTCATCAATGAGCGAGGTTGCTGGAAGTCCTCTCCAACTCCCCCAAAAGCAGACAACATAGTTGCAACTGCACTGGTGTGCAGGTGTCAGTATAATATTGCTCTTACATTCCGGTAATTTGATTGCTCGTTGCCTGCCTATACCACAAAAAAGGTTGATGGTAAGTTAATTCCAAGTATGTTTTTTGTTAGGATCTTCTCATTCACCGTGTGTTAATGGTGTCTTAATAAAATATGGAATCCATATCAGTTGGTACACACCACACTGGGATCAACCTGGTTTAGCTAAAACACAATGTGATCGTGTTGAAGACAGACTAGTGTCACGGTAATGTTGATTATAATGACAATATAAATGAAATATTGTAATTTATATTGCAGCCACAGGCAACATTTTAGACGGAACATTAAAAGGTAAGAACATCCATATTTGGTGCAATAGTCTTATTATTATACTTACTAAGCACGCTTTTTGCAAAATGACAATGTGATAATGTCAATATTATGAATGTTTAAGTATCAGATTAGGAACCCAGTTCTGTTCATTTGAATGAAATATTGTAATTTATGTTGCAGCCGCAGGCAGCGTCGTAGAGGGATCAGTAAAAGGTAAGTACATCCATATGGCTTTATATACTCTAAATGTTTTCGCAAACCGAAAATTAAGATCTATCTTTTTAACTGTCTCGTTCGTAAAGTGTTGAAATACTGCGCGGTTGTGTGGCGTCCCCACTATGCAACACATTGTCATATAGATAAGAGAGGATCCAGGAAAGGCTTTTGTGCCATTTTGCCTATTCTGTAAGATTAAGCGAAAAATTACGAAGTTATGCAAAACGTCTGGAACAATTTAGCATGATCTCACTAGAAAAACGAACACATCATTAATATGGACTTAGTTTTCCACTTTAAAATACGACGACCTATTAGGTTATGACGCCCCCATCCCGCTAAGCTGTATCAGGATCCAACTCCTTCATCCCCAGAATCAATTGAAATTTATTCCACAACTATTCAGAAATTCAAGTTCACAATACCTAAAGTTAAGTTTTTGTCCTCACTTTCATTATAATTGAAAGCATTATTTCTGTACTTATACCGGGTGACATATTGAACGAGGGACGTATTCCGATAGCCGATTCTAGTGCTCAAGTGGGTCACCTTTTTTACGGGACTAGTGTGGAAATCTCAAGAAAGATTTTTACTTCTCCATGCAAAATGATCAATCAGCTCTTGCGATTTGCATGGGGAAAGAAATTTATTTGTGAGGTTTCGATGTTGGTACTTTGGAAGAAATTGTCGTGGTCGAGCGCCAAACTCGGCTCCTTGTACCTCGATCAAAATGTCACCTGTATTATGGCTTTATTTTATTATATCAAATATTTCCTTTGTTGCAGAGTTGTGTCTAGCGCATTTTGTTGTACATTATGCTTTTATTTTTTTACCAGTATCATTAACATAAACAGTGTAGCAATTGTAGACAGGTCTATAAATAAATAAATACTTAGCTGTTGGAAAAGATCTAATTAGTACTAACCACGGACTAACCACGTAGTTGCAAACTGGCAATGTGGTAATGTCAATATTATGAATGTTTAAGTATCAGATTAGGACACCAGAGGGCCTACCATGACTCCATCCCTCTTTCTCGCCCGGAAGATTGACGCTTTAACAAGTAATCGTAGGCCTACAGTACTGTTTATTTGAATGACAGTTTAAAAGAAATTTTGCAATTTTTATTGCAGCCGCAGGCAACGTCGTAGAGGGAACAGTAAAAGGTAAGAAGAACATCCATATTTGGTGGCAAAAGTCTCGTTAGTACTAACCACGTTTTTAGCTAAATGTCAATGTGATAATGTCGAAATTACGAATGTTTTAATACCACATTAGGACACCCCCAGTACTGTTGATTTGAATGACAAGTAAACTTGAATATTACAATTTGTTTTGCAGCTACCGACAACCTTTTAACTGGAGCAAAAAAAGGTAATTTGGACGAACCTGGTAATATCTCAATATGATCCCGTCACCATAGAAAAGCAAAACCAACTCTGCTCTTTATTACGCTTTAATCCTATGTAGTGGGTGCTTTTACAAACATAAAATGAAACAATCAAATGACGCCCAGACCTGTATCAACAATTTTCGGACCACACAAAGAGTTGCCCTTCGTGCGGTCATTATTGCAAACGAATACTGCTAATAATACTACGATGGTCTATTAACTAGAGTTTAACTACCACGTTTTTAGCTAAATGTCAATGTGATAATGGACAATGTGATAACCACATTAGGACACCCCCAGCACTGTTGATTTTAATGACAAATAAAATTAACGATTACAATTTGTATTGCAGCTACCGACAACCTTTTAACTGGAGCAAAAGAAGGTAATTTGGACGAATCTGGTAATATCTCAATATAATCCCGTCACCATAGAAAATCAAAACCAACTCTGCCCTTCACTACACACCTAATATACTACGGTGGTCTATTAACTAACTCTGTAATTATTAACGAAAACAAGATAAAACATATATATTTATCTAGTCAATAACAACGGAATTAAGATATATTTTGAGGGGTGATAAAATAAAATTCTTCAGCACTTCCTTCCTCCTCCTCCGATCCTTCTCCTGCTTCAGGCCTGGGCCGCGGTATGTTACTGCGCTTGCATTCGCAAACCCGGAGGCAGATTAAGACTACCTACTACTGATTTTTACTGATTTAATTAATAAATATTATTTACATTGCAGCTAAAGACGACCTTGTATCTGGAGCAAAACAAGGTAATTTGGACGAATCTAGTAATATTCCAAATGAATCACAATATTAATGTTAAAATCAACTATGAATGACAAAGACACTCTAAACTTTTAAGAAAATAAATTAAATCAATTAGAACAAATAATTATAAAAAATACACATTATGGCATTACATTATCAGCCTAAATAGTGCCGACTGCTAAGCAAAGGACTCTTCCCTCATGATGAAGGTTTGATCATTAATTATCACGCATATACGCACGCAACCAATGCGAATCACTCGACCAGTAGTACCGTTTATTTGAATGACAATTAAAATGTTTTTATTTTTATATTGCAGTTGCAGATGATGTTGCAAACGGATTATCCAACGGTAAGTGCATTCGCTGTTTATATGTTTAACACTGTTTTGCCATCCATTTAAGCATGTTAAGATTGATTGTTAAAGAAAATAGATGTGCTGACATTTATTTCGAGTATTGATTACGCCGATACAAATTATAATGATTACACGAGCCAAGAAGCCAAAAGGCACAATGTTTAGATGCACACCTAATTCGTTTTCTATACTTATAGGTATACAAGTCGGTGCCAGTGTGAAAGTTGGCGGAGACAGCTTAATTTCAGCCAATATCAACACAAGCGTTGGCAAAAATAAGCAAGTAAGTATTCCAAGAATCGGTAATGAGTTTTAACTAGATTCAGAAGAATATAATTTTTTTGATAAAATATCTACCATTAGCATGTCCGTTGCAACAGCATCAACAACAACCAAACACTAGTTGTTACGATAACCGATCGACTACAATGCAAACCTTATATTTACAGGAAGCGGCGCAAGACGATGCTGCTGCTGATCAAGCAGAAACGAGCGACGCTCAGGATGCCACGCAAGACGATACAGCCGCTGATACAGCACAAACAAGCGATTCTCAAGATGCCGTTCAAGATGATGCTGCTGCGGAAGAAAGCAACGCTCAGGATGCCGCGGAAGACAGTAGCTCTTCTAATGACGCAGCCAGTGCTGATACCGTCGACGCAACTGCCTAAACTGTTTCTAAAGACTACGGACTCATTGCTATTTTGATACTTCGACAAACTCCTATTAGGGTAACAATAGAGATAAATGTTATAATTTCATCAATACATTTTTGAAATTTAGTTTTCACACTCATAACCTGGCTGTTTGTCTACTTGAAAATAAATTCGGCTCTTGTTGCATACAATTACGTATCATTTTATTTAAACCTATGGTTTGTATCATAATTATCTATATTTTTAGGTATTATTCTTCATAACTCTTAACAATATTATCATAATCAGTGTCCGTCGATGATATTATTGTTAAGCTATATACGTAATTACTATAGGTAGTATGTGCCTGGTGATATTAATTTAACTTTCTCCCTAAATCGAAAAGGGTCAACTATACAAAACGAAAGAGCTATCATCACATTCGAATTATCGAACTGGGGGAGTATAAGTTGTTGTGGTGGCAACCTCTAGCGTCCGGCATGGTCCGGTTTTAGCAGCCGTACAGTCGGGCAGCTCACTGCACCACTGTTACATTGTCAATGGTCGACAGGATGTCGACCATGATATTTATAATAGCCAATTATGGAAGGTACAGTGACTTACTAATAAATAATTAGTGATGTTACAACATAGACGACCCGTCCCCTCTTCCTAATCCTTAAATATCCGAAACCCCAAAAGGCCGGCAAAATACTAGTAACTCTTTTGTCATGTTGTTGTTGGTGTTGCGGGTGTCAATTGGCGGCGCCGATTGCTTACTATCAGGTCAACCTTATGCCAGTTTGCCGCCCTATCCCATAAAAAAATTAAATATTAACGAATACATAGCATAAATGATATGATATTCAATTTCACATGTCATAGTGACAATTTATTATTTTTGACACTAACTAATTTATTACTGGTTTTAAATTGACTAGGAAATCTTTGTTAATTCCTAGAAAATGTAAAGTTTTACTTGCTAGCCTTCTAGCAAATAATAATAACTTAGGATGTATTTTAAGTGACGAAACTATATTATTTAGATATTCTAATAATGTAGTGATTGATTGTACATATAATAGTACGACGGAGACTCAACATTTAGGGACGAAATAATGTGGGTAGCACTCCAGATAATTTTTTAAAATGAATTTTGAGACAACAGAAGATAACTTAATGAATATTCATACTACAAATTATCAAAAGGTTTCTTCTCGCAGCATATTATATAACAAAAACAAACCAGGAAAATTTACACTCCTTAGTCAAAATATTCAGGGCATTTCATCCAAATTACTAAAATTGGAATTATTTTTCACAATAATGATCCAGATCCCAATAATTATAGGCCGGTATCAATTTTACCAGTGCTTAGTAAGGTGTTTGAAAAGCTGATGCTTTCTCAGATGCTACGACACTTTAACGTGAATTCCATCTTTCATGACCAACAATATGGGTTCACCAAGGGTCGATGCACAACTGACGCCGGTGTGACTCTAATTAAGCATGTTTTTGCCTCGTGGGAGGAGTTGCACAACGCTATTGAACTTTTTTGTGACCTGTCTAAGGCTTTTGATTGCGTCGAACACGAGACACTGTTGCTGAAGTTGGAACACTGTGGTATTCGAGAGGCTTCAACCAATTTAATAAAATCATACCTAGGCATAGGTAGGCAACTCAAAGTGCAGGTAAATAAAGTGAACTCCCAGGGTGCTAGCATATCTATGGGCGTACCACAGGGTTCGATATTAGGTCCTTTCCTGTTTTTAGTGTACATAAATGACTTACCTCATTTGTTTCAACGTAAACCGGGAATGGTATTATTTGCTGATGACACATCGTTGATTTTTAAAATAAATAGACGGACAGATAATTATTACGACGTAAATAATGCTATTACGAAGGTTAAGGTTATAACTGGTTTACAGTTAATAATTTATTCATAAACGACAAAAAGACAAAGTGTATACGATTCAGTTTGCCAAATGTTAAAAGTAGTGAATGTGACATAGTATTAAACGGCAAGAAATTGGAATTTGTAAAACAGACTACTTATCTGGGTATAACCATAGATTACAAACTACAATGGGGGCCCCATATCACATCTCTGGCAGGACGGTTGAGTTCTCCGATCTCTGAGAGAACTATATAAATCGATAAATATCCTAACGGTACCTTGTCAGATTATATATGAAAATATTATGCACGTGAGGAAAAAATACGATTGTCTGAAAAAAGAAGCAAATAATATTAATATTAAAGGCAGATATAGGCTGGATTCCGCGCGCTCCTCAAAGGGCCAATAGACAACTACAGACGGGACCCTATATCCCGCAGTTCTGGCTGAACATCAGCCAGAACTGCGGGACCCCGGCCCAGAGCAGGAGAAGGAACCGGGAGTTTTTAATCCGTAAGAGTCTGAGTCTTTTTTCCGGCATAGGCAGAAGTAACTAAAATTATCAAACTCGACCGTATATACTTTTGTGAAGAATTCAGACGATGATGAATCTTTCATTTGATCGGTCCATCCGGTTGGTGGACGAGCACGCGATCGCATGGCTTCGGTCATTCCAACGACAATCAGTTTTCCCAGGATTTCGCCCCCGGATAGAATGCTGTGTTGTTGGCATATGGTCGACGAGCGGATTACATATCTGGATAGACTGGATGTCAACTTGACCTTGGTTTGATTACCGATACCTCTCTTCTTCCTTCGTTTAAACAAACATAGCATATTTGGCCATCCCGACGCGTCTATAATTCTTGGAAATACAGCAGCCATCGTTGCAGATTTGAGAGCAGAGGTAAATGTAGTGGTTGACGATGTTGGTACAAGTAACTTTGCAGGTGCTATGGAAAATGCAGGGAACAGGATGCAATCCTGGCTCAAACCTTTTTCGTTTAAAACATGTTGGAGTACTCAATGCCTCTCCTAACAAAAATATGATGTTCTACGTAAAGACTCGACTAATGTTACAAGATCAGGTGGTTGTTAAATTCCCGACTTTTTTCGAAGTTTGGCGAACGTTTATCAATATATGTTCCCGCGTTCCTTTATCTTTGACAAAACCAACCTGTTGGCTTAAAAATTATTTAATGTGGCGATTAGTCCGACGAAGTACAAATTAGACTACATGAATACATCTCTTGATCCAATTCAAAAGACCCACTCTGCATGATTTACATAACCCAGTAGAGTGTTATACATCTGCCACGATAAAGAATCCTTGAAAGTGATATACGGAAATTCATTCGATAGCAGATACCTACCCCTTTTTTGTTTTTTTTTTTTTTTTGTCAGTGGAAAATCATCCAATGACTTCTCCCGCCCAGGGTAAGGCGAGAGAGAGTGTCAGACTCTTACTGACTAAAAACCCCCCCGTTCCTTCTCCTGCTCTGGGCCGAGGTCGCGGTGCCTCATTGCGCTTACCCCGCAGCCCCGGCTAAACATCAGCCCTTTAGGGCCCCGACTGTGGTGGTCTATTGGCTCTTTGAGGGGCGCGCGGAACGCTACGCGCCGTACGCTCGGGTCCGGTTCTGGTCGGGCGGCGAGCTACCCTTACTCGCCGTCCGCAGACCCGCGCTTACGGTGGCCGGAGATCATCTCTCGATCCCCGACGTCCGGAATGTCGCCTTCTGCGGCGGCTGGGGCGCGAGGAGGATAGTTCCCTCACGCGCTACGCCTCCTCCTTTGCGAGCATAACTGCTTCGCAGAAGGAGGAGATAGCTTCCCAGTTCCTCTCACGCTGCACCATGGCCTCGATTAAGGCCGGGCGCGAGAGGTCGCCGCCGCCGATACCCCTGAATCAATAATTGTACAAAAATGTCAACATGCAATTACATTTTCAGTAAATTATTGTATTTGCACAGTTGCAACTAGTAATGCAAACGTCGAGTTGGTCCATATAAAAGGCTGCTCCAAGTGAACAGCGGTACGAGTCGCAAGAATCTTGTTCCGACTAAGATCATCAGTCTCCAACCTCTACAACATGAAAGCCGCCGTATTATTGATCGTCGCTGTGGTAAGTACCTCCACATTTTAGTATCTTATTCTCGACTAATGTTTATTCCTCTCCAGTTATGTTCTAACTACGTCGATTTCCGTCAATACCTGTTTCACCAAACGGAACCACTGAATTTGTTGTTTGGATGTTTTATCCAAACAACAAATTGTACAACTACATGTGTAACACTACGAGGTCTTACTTGAAAGAGACCTAAAGCTTTGGCTTCTTTCGCATAGAACTAAGTAGGTAGTAGTTCTACGCGGAAGAAACCAAGACAGTGGACGGAGACACATTCATTTATAATTTTGAACACCTTCATTAATGTGATGTTTGATTTGTTTGTCACAGGCGACACTAGCTTCAGCGCAAGAAGCAGTCAGCAGCCCCCAGCGCGTTGGACTAAGTAATGTACTGGGCGAATTGGGAGGTTTATTAGACGGTAAGAGCACATTGCACATGGCGCCGACTCGGTAACATGGGATCTGAGTAAACCTGTTTTAGGTTCACCTCTAAATAATGCTTAACGCATTTTCGTTTCTTACAGGACTGTTAGGTCTTGATGGTAATCTTAAAGTTGGCGGAGGTAGCCTGCTTGACGCCAATATCAAAACAACGATTGGCAGAAAGAAGCGTGTAAGTACTTCCTTGTATTTAAATTGAGGAGTAAGTCGATGCACTTACTTGTGTTATAGCCATTGGCCTGTCTTTGTTTTACAATCAATCCTTCTTCCATTTTGATAAACGCTCTTGAATACATTTATTTTATAACATGTTTTAAACATTCTTCTGTGAGATAAACGGACAGCAATATAATTCTCACTTATTCGAACCATCACAATAAAGTACCAAAGAATCTGTATATGAAAATGATTTAAAAAGAGTAATTTCATTCCATTTATCCATTTGGAATCTACACTTTGGAACGAGCAAATAGTTTCATAAAGAGGACTGACGGGCAGACTGACACTTAATGATTTTGACTATTTGAAATAACATACTTACATAATTTATATATTGTTATTATTT